AAAAAAAAAAAAAAAATTGAAAATACCAAGCCAGGGCCAGAGATCCATACTTAGGGAACCGATCAACGGCTCAATTTGAAGCGATCGTGCAATTTGAATCCGCAAAAGTACCGATTTAACTATTCAGATGTAGCTATGGAAGCACAAAACGGCGATCAGGCAGATACACACACACACACACACACACATATATACAGAGAGAGAAGGAGGAAAGGGCTGTACCTGAAACAGTACCAGAAGACGCGTACAATAGAGGTAAAGCTGCGCAGAAAGTGTAATAACTAATAAGCAAAAAATGTAGGGATTTGCAGAGATAAATATCGTGTGGAAAAGGAGGCTGTTGAAAATTCTATCACGGGACACGTGGTGGCATGTGATTTGACGACATAATTGACTTTTTTTGCATTTACTTTGCTCACGATATAGGTCGAAACCGCCTGTTCCGGTTCGCTTGTTTAGAAGACCCTAAACCGGCCTGGCTATATGTACATAGGCAGGTTCAATGAACCGTCGGTTCCGGCTCAGTTCCGACAGTTTGGAGTCTATTTTTTAAAAAAATAATAATTTTTTTTTGGGTGGTGATCTGTCGAGTCCAGGTCAACACGATGGGTCATGCGACCGACAGATGTTGGTTGTTGAATCTCAAAGGTAACGTCCCATTCAAAAATGTGACGTTGGGTGACCTGGCGGGTCGGGTTCGACCCCAAACCAGTAGGTTACAAGAATTAAGACCCGGAACTGGCCCGTTTGTAGCACGGGTTTGGTTCAATGACCTGTAGATACGGCCGGTTCCGTGCGGACCCTGGCCATGTTTAAATTCGAAGTCAAAATTAACTTGACTCTTTAAAACTATAAATATAACTTTTTATGTAATGTTTTTTGTAGCTCGAATCATTAAGACTAAAATTTGGTTCTTTGACGTTCGAACTCATTGATTAAATATTGATGAATGAGTCAACTCGAGCTCGAGCTCGAGCTCGTTTAGTTATCTGAGTCGAGCTTGAATATTAAAAGCTCAAACTAGACACAGCTCGAGCTCGTTTAGTTATCTGAGTCGAGCTTGAGCTTACTAAGCTCGCTTATACTTCTACTCCATGGGGTGACCAAGATAGAATGGGAACGCGAGGTTTAAAATGGAGAACGAATTTGTTTTCATAAGTGAATTTTGATAAAGCATATGATTGTTTCTTGAAAATAAAAATTAACTACCACAAAATTAATATAGATCCATTCATATACTTTTAATTATTTTTATGAATGCAATTTAATTAAATGTTATTATTTTACATTATAATAATAACAGTTCATTCTCAGAAATTAATTTTTAGAAATACTTTTTATTGTAAAAAAAGAAACAAAAGCCAATAACCACAAAATGTGGGGTGTATTCATTTGCAATTTGTTAAAGATTTGCTAGGACTTCATGAGTACTAGTGTATTTAATTTGATTTCTTTTTGAAGACTTTTGAAAATAATGATGTGTTAATTTGAGATTTCGAAAAATTCTTAACATATCACAAGTTATTTAATTTATTGTGACATTGAGATTTACGAAAACTTTTTTAAATTTATTGTGACACTGAGATATAAGAGGAATCTTTAGAAAATTTAATAACTTGTGATTTGTTAAGAATTTTTCGAAATATTTAGAAAACTTAAAAACTTGAATTGATTTATTAATAATACACAGATGTTTGTGCTACTAATGGCTGTTTACTATTTTTGTACTACCATAGTTTATGAGTAAAATTCCAACTCAACTAAAATAACCAAAAATATAAAGAAAATCAAGTGATTGTCCATTTGCTATAACTCTAAGTTAGAATGAGCATATTAAGACTTTTTTTTTTTCTATTAATATAGAAATATTGCAATGCATATAGATTGACTATTGATCTAGAATATTCTGATTTATTGGATATTGGTCTGCCTAATTATGGAAACCATCTAGAAGGATCCTAACCTGCAGAAGCTAAAAACATCCATTTTACCCAATTTGTGAGTTAGGTGTCAAGATTTTTTTACAAAAAAAAAAAATCAAATGTTAAGTTGAAGACAAAAAAATAAAGAAAAAAGGGGGAGTGGAGAGAAATAAAAAGGACGTATTTTACGAATACGTTTTCTACATTTTTTAATTGTGACACGTATTTCGTGAATACGTTTTCTTTTGTAAAAAAAATGTAAAAAACGTATTTAGTGAATACGTTTTTTGATTATAATATACAGAAAACGTATTTTGTAAATACGTGCTTTTTATGATGGTCCACTATCCTTTTTTTTGTTGTTTTTTGTCCACTTATTATTTTTTTATTAATTAATAAATATATAAATTACTCTGGGTGTCAATGCCCTTTGCAAATTAAAATGATTTTTTTTATTTATTTCCTGAAAATATTTATTTTTTAATTTTATCTTCAATTGCCTAATAAATATATATTATATGTGCACTGTGGTTTTTTGACTGGTAATTTTGTGTTATTTATTAATAAGAACACTCAATTGGAGCTTAGTGTACATGAAAAATCAACAGAAAAATAAAAATAAAAATACAAAATAAAGGAGGAATTTTGACTTCGGGCGCAATTTCAACAAGTTGGTTGAATTATTAATTAGCAGTACAAGATTGAAAGTTTACTTAAAGAAATAGTATTTCATTATTAGCTAATTTTTTCTAACTCCAATCTATTGTTTAATGTTTTATATTAACTTTAAATTGATTTAAAATACTATTTATTCACACAAAAAATTCAAATTGAAATCTTAGAAAATTGTGCATCTAAATTATACTACCCTCCTATTCTTTTTAAATGTCATTTTGGCTTTATCAACTATTAACTAAAAAAATGTCGTTTTGGGTCTTTTGTACATGTTTTTCCCATTATTACCCTCATTGAATCAATAAATACACTACGTCTTTTCATATTCACTCTTCATTTTTTTTTAAAACATTCATCTCTATTTTCATTAAATAGGGTTATTATTGACAACAAAAATATTCTTAATTATTGTATAACTTCTCAAAACGACATTTATTTTGAATAGGAGGGAGTATGTTGCAACACCAACACTTAAAAAGCGCCTACCCAATAGCGAAATAACCACATTTTTTTAATTAAAAAATATTTATAGACAATAAAATTACACACTTTTATTTATTTTATTTTAAAGTATTGAATCTCGTGCATTTACACTTTATATTTTAATTTTTTTATAATATAAATTTTGTGTGAAAAGTATGACTACCTAATCGTTAGACATCTCTAACAATAAATTTATTGAAAAGGTTTTACTGAAAATGTCAACCATAAAATTCATCTAATTATATACAAACTTGGACGATGTAGTTCAATAGTTCGAATAAAAATCATCCGAACTTTAACGACCCTATTTTTTAATGGTATGTAATGCTATTTTGTGTTACTACTTTTTTGATTACAATTTATTTCAAAAAACGACGACACATAATAACATTTGTATGTTTAACAACTCATATGATATAAAACGTCATATATAATTAAAAATAAAGGAGAATACTACCATCCTGTTACGGTATAGTTCCGTTGTGTTTTCTAGCCACAGATATACATGTAATCTAGTGATGAGTAGTTAATCCAATGTTTAAAAATACAACGGAACCATCCCGTAACGGGATGGTAGCATTCTCCATAAATAAAATCATATTTTGTACACCAAAAAAATTAATAAATAAAATCATATTCAATTCTCACCATTATCACCCAAGACTTTATGTAATTATTTTATATTTAATTATCCTATTACAACACTGCCCTTAACCTCAAATAATTGATACTACATTATAAATGTCGTTTTGACTTTTGTGATTCATCCATTTTGTTATGTATCTAGACATATTAATGTCTAGATACATAACAAAATGGATGAATCAAAAAAGTCAAAACGACATTTATAATGAATAGGAGGGAGTATATAAATTAAGGAGATGCTATGTTTCCATTACAGAACCATTTAGTCAGAATTTGTAACTGTTAGATCAACAATCTTACATGATGATCTAACATTTATAAATCCCGACAGAATAGTTCCAAAGGACAGTAGCATTTCCCTAACCCTCAATAAATATATATTTTGTTGTTGACTATTAAAATACAGAAAAAAAAAAGACCCATAGTCGGACTAGAATTTTATTCACTGACGTCTGAGTCTGAACTCAGTCCTGCCCGCAAACGTAGTATGTATTCGATTTTTTCTCCAGA